GCAAAGGTGATAACTACATAGAAACAATGTCGTAACTTTGGACCCCGGCATAAAAATTGTTGGAAAACATACCAAGTAACCCCTACGTAAATAGCATGGTCATATACGCACATCAGAGATGATAGTTTACTTAGTCCATGTGTGCTAAACTTTTAACCCGACAAAAAAAGTTATTGAAACATTCCCTGGTAACTCATGTGTTAAACACAATGTGATAATAAAAAAAATAAAAAAAATCCTAAAATAATACATTCTATTTGTTACATAAAAACTAAAAACATCAAATTGCATAAGGGTCTAGATTGCACCGACATGAATTGTTTGAGGGAGTAAATCCAACCAAAATTTTATTTAGGGTGTCAAGCAGACATAATGAATTGTTGGAGTAAAATGGACCTCTTCCATAGGTATTCATAAGATTCATTAGGTATGGCCGTTTTCATTCTTGCAAATAGTCTATCATCTAAACTCTTGCTAAAACTAATGCATATATATAATTTCCCTTTATTTTTGGATTAGCATAGGTATTTCGTACTAATTTTTTCCAACAATCATGAAGCTCGAGCAGGCCACCATAGTACATTTATATGCTTTTAGTTATTTACTTGGGAATCATACTCCTAATTGTACATGGTATACTTCTTGATATTTTTAATTCTGGCTTAGAGTGTCCCAAGGGAATTGTAGCCGGATCATGCGTGAATAAACAAACCACATCTTATTATTTGATTTGCTTTGGATTTTCTATATTTAATTAATGCAATGGAGCTGGACTCAAGTTCGACTATATTCTAACTGCAATAAAATAAGAAAAAACATCAAGTTATTGTCTTTTACGTTTCTTTTTGTTGCGGAGGTTTCAGATGAAGATATGATCTATTGTCGATTGATGACTATAGTTTGTCTAGAATCCTAACCAAAGGATAGATCTTTTGTTTTTTGTGATATTTTTTGAATTTTCCTTTCGTGTGGAGACCTGAAAATAAGCCTCCAATTAGTGAATATAAGAGTATGTAACCAAAGGGAATAAATTTTGAGACCCCATAGCTAAATGATATCACGCATGTTCTACTGTCTGCCATGACCTAAATTGCATTTCTGTGTGCGGTCCACCTTGAGAAACCATCCCTAGAAATCAATTTCTAAGGGTGGTTAGGCTCCTGGCCCACTGGGAATTTGGCAACGGGGGCTCCGTTCTTGATAATGGAAACTGAAAGGAGGTATAACTAAAACTCGTTTCTTAGTAGTGGGAGCCATATTCAAGCAGTCCTAGAAGGTTAATTCACACTAAAGCACTTACCTTCTTGTAAAATTGGTACTGAACGAAAAACAAGGATGCCCTGTGCTTGATTGGTTAATTCTTCTCAGGGATCTCATTCTGAACTGATGACTGGAGTGACTCGCTTATATACCTTCTTCTGTCGTCGTGCAGTTAGCTAAAGCAAACCCTCAGAAGGTGGACCTTCCAGTTGTCAAGCTTGGGGAGCATGAAGATGTCACCGAGGAAGCCACATGGAGCTCTTTGAAAAGGGCAGTAAGCCGCGTCTGTAATTTGCAGGCACATGATGGACACTGGCCCGCGGATTATGGAGGACTTTTGTTCATTTTGCCAGGCTTGGTACCTGCTCGAGCTTGTTCTCTCTTGCATTCCCCGCACATCTTGCTATTTTCGTTACCCACACTTCCAAAATTATTACAACATTATTATGTTTTGACTTGCATGTGCTCAGATTACAACATTGTATGTGACTGGAGCTCTGAACACTGTTTTATCATTGGAACATAAGAAGGAGATGCTCCGGTACATCTATAATCATCAGGCAAGATTATTTTGTTGATAAACTATACAATTCTACATTGGGAGAAACCAAAATTCATTACTTCCAATTTTGTGAATACAATTGTAGAATGAAGACGGAGGGTGGGGAATGCATATTGAGGGCCACAGTACCATGATTGGCTCATCCTTGAACTATGTTGCCTTGAGATTGCTCGGGGAGGGCCCAAATGGTGGGGATGGAGCCATAGAGAAAGGTCGGAACTGGATTTTAGACCACGGAGGAGCCACATTTGCACCATCGTGGGGGAAGTTCTGGCTCTTGGTAAGGGATCGATTATACTTCTCTGCATATGGATTTTATGCAATGTCAAACTTTCTCAAACTGCAGGTTTTCATAGCAAGAATTTCCTTATATATATTTTACATATTTCAGGTACTTGGAGCATATGATTGGTCTGGTACTAACCCAGTGCCACCAGAATTATGGCTGTTACCATATCACCTGCCATTTCACCCAGGTTCTGCATATTTCTTGAGGCATTGTACTCATGCATGTGTGTAGGTCATGTTTGCGTTGAGCCCCACCAAATTTTAGTGACGAACAAAATTTTGGTAACCTGGGGTGTTTGGATTATAGCTCTATGCCAACATTATCATATATCCATCAACCAAGTCTGCAGCATGTGGGCTCTATGTGCATATTTTGTTTGAGCCCCATGGGCAGCCACCGCACCCCCATCCTGTTTTTTCAGCGAGCAGTAAGCAAAGGACGGGGATACTATAGTACTAACATGGGCCGGCTGGGACTATTGTACTCTCCCTACCGGTGGTGCTTGCTGTCAGTGTCAACCAGCAGGAATATCTGCTCAAAGGCTAAAAATATAATTCATCTGTTCTTAAATTATTGTCTCTGGCTAGATCAATTTTGAACTAACCGATGACAATAAAAAAAGAACGGAGGGAGTATGTTGCTTCCATCCCGGCTTGTGTTAGCCTGGGCACACACGAGCTGCCTACTTTGGTACTCCACTTGTTTTTAAATTGTTGTCGCTGATAGTGCAAATTTATAATTTTATACTAGCCGACGGCGGTAATTTAAAATAAAAGGAATAGTTCATGTCATCTCCTAGTAAGAAAAGTCTTCGTGCACACATTTCACACATTCTCAAATGGCAGGCCACGCAGGGCGCAGAAACAAAATTGACTGAATGCTATCATCAAATACCGATGCACATACCAAATTGATCTTATTCCTTGGATATTCATGATGTGTTAAAATTCCGTAATTTTACGTATATGCAAATTCATAGACGTTCAAATTATGTTCTATTGCAAGCTGCAAACTGGGACAACTAATTTATGGCTAAGACATGGCAGGGTAGTTAAACACATACAGTATAAGGAACTTATTCTAGTACAGAAAACACAAGAACTATATTTGGATCAAACGTCAGTTAAGTAAAACAAATGTAATTATCACATAGCTAGCCATGTGCAAGCTAGGTCAGTAGATATGTATGATCTGAGGCATGTTAAGGCAGGATGAAAGAAGATAAGCATACTTAACCAAACTTGACTGGTGCAGTGGGGATTTACTGGATAGTTTCTGTTTTCTGAAAGCACCCACATCAAGTTCATTGGCTGCTGCCCCCTCTCATTCTCCATGACCTGCATGCACAAAACATTTGATATCAGTGACCAATTTAAAGGATCTATGTCAATTAGGTTTCTATAATGAATAAGCTGTTGGATTTACCTCCCTTTAATCCTCCCAACATCTTTCCCCAGCTTCTTAAGATCTCTGAAGATCATAGTATTGTTTGCATCTCCCACGGTCGTCCTACTAGTTCATTGGACAAGTCAGACTATAATATACTACTATTTTTGTCCAAGACAGAAAAAATCTAGACATGTTGTATAATTTACTACTAAAACAGACAACCTGATTTCAGAACACATATCCATATTTGAAGCAGATTTGCAGGAGCAAACTAAATAAAATTAGGGCATTAAGCAGTCTAGAAATCTCAGGACAGTTAGCAAGTTCAATATGGAGATTAATTCACGTTCCACAAACAAAAAGAATCGACTGAATATGATAATTTAGAGGACTTCAAAACGTGCAAAAATTCAAGAGCACACGTGGTTTTGCATAGCTTGCAGTGGACAGTGAAATCTTGTACAGGCAATGCTTTCTAGTATCCAAATAGAGACAATGCCGTCCATTAATTCAATGGAACCCTGCACAGGTAATTCTTTCTAGTGTTTTTCATGCTTAGGATCCAGCTGCACATTCCAATTTTGTGATATTTTACCATTATAATCCAGACTTTTGAGTTTAACATTTACATTAGCTCCAACGGCACCAGCTAATAAATCTATTTCCAATCAGTTGTATAACAAAGGTCTTCATTGTGTGGCTAATCAATTCCATTTAGTAGAGAACAAAAAAATTATTTTATTACAATACTCCAAATTCAGTAAATGTTAAAAATTCTAGCTTGCTTGCTAATATGCTACAATAATTTACAACATAATGCAGGTCGATTTGCGTGCTATATCCGAATGGTGTATTTACCCATGTCTTATATTTATGGAAGGAAGTTTGGTGGCCCAGTCACACCAGTTATACTGGAACTAAGAAATGAACTCTACAGAGTGCCCTATGATGAGATTAACTGGAACAAAGCTCGAACTGAATGTGCCAAGGTGGGTATCATCAAATAGTATCTACAATAGAGCTCCTAGTCAATGTACTATATATACTATTTTTTGTGAACAATGTATTGTACCATAATCAATTGCTGTACTAAGAATAGATCAACAATAAGGTATTGGCTCATTACATATCACTAGAAAGCAAGTTCAGAGTTACATTTCCTCGCTTATAAATATATGACTTTTAGGATAAGCTAATTAGTTTATTTTTAATCCAATTAGCTTGTCATTAGTGTCATAAATTAATAAATGAAATATTAGATGAATAAGATAAGAAAAATTCTACCTGTTGTACATGCACGGGACATGTATATACAGAGTCTGTAATAAGATGACCAGTCTTCCTCACAATAGATTAAAAATGGATTTATTTTGAGGGAAGATTTAGTCAAATAGTCATACCAGGTAACTATCGATCATTTTTTATAATATAATTACCACATATCAATCAGTTGAAAATTCCTAAAATATGAACTTGCTTGTCGGGTTTGGGGGTGCCCTCATGTCGGGATTGCCTCAGGGCCCCACAAACAATAGAGCCGCCACTAGTAGTGATGCAAAGTCAATTGGTTGCAGATCACTATCATCTTATTGGCTCCAATAAATAGTGACGACTAGAAGCCAATAACAGGAAGTAACCAACGATGACTTATGATTGAAAGGTTCTTGATGACACGTTGGTGTTAGACACTATCACTCTTAGTATTTACTTGATATGGTCATTGATAGGGTACAATGATATTTCTTAACTAAGTTGGTCACTAATAGGTGCAAATACTACTTACTATCTTCTTAAGGTAGTTAATGATAACAATCTTTCTTCTGTAGTTTTATAAGGACTACCAATGATAACATTTAAGATTTCCCACATTGGTTAAATTTATAAAAATGATAAGAAGCCATTCTAACTTACACAAATTTGTATGCAAGGTCACCTCTGTTCAAAGTAAATACTTGTAAACTATAAGGCATCCTGAAGTTCACCTGCCATTTAATCCTAATCATCCAAGCAATCTACCATTTAATCCTACGACTTGAGGCAATCAAAACCAATCCACCGAAATTACTGAAGGGGTACATGTGTCTCTTTTATCTGGCACAAACTGTCAAAAAAAATCCTTGACACCGTCATGTTTTGTAGGTCAATCTAGTTAACACCATGATTATATCAAACTATTATGATAGGAAGGCAGATCAATTGTATATCTGAAATAAGCATGCAAAGTAAGCGCAATATTAATAGCACTAGTGCTTGCATCACGTCCATAGTAGATTCATCTGTAGGTCAGTATTTCACAATGTTCACATCAAACTATTAGGAGAGAAAAGTAGCTCAACTCTATACCTGAAATAGGCACAATGTGAATCATACATTCAGTGAGCATATGAGAAGAAGCCTATATACAGAACCTTATGTGTTCAATAAAAATGATTATATGATACCATGGAATAAGTTGGTGGCTGAGTCACATTATTGATAGTTGAAAAACATCTATGGTGTGTTTAATTATGAGCGGTCGGTGGCAACAAGTAATAAACTAGACATTTATTGATCCAGTTTTTCGATATTTTAGATATTCCTCCAATGAAAAAAATAGACATTTTAGGTTGCTTGCAAAATAGAGATAAGTAAATTTTGACAGTCAGTATTGTTTTCCATATTTCCATTATACTTTGAAAACGTGGCATACCTAAATTTTTCTTCAAACCAATTTAAAATATATCACAATTTACGTACTATAGTTCACAAGGAAACTACATTAGTAATTTATAGTCAATTGGTATTTTTTGGGAGGAACCCAGTCACTATCAAGAATGGCACTCTTTTGTGATAGCGTACTTATCAATAGTGATGTGAAACTTTGACTTAATTAACAATTATGTACCACAAATCAATCCATGAGGTTAATATTTTCCCAAAATTTGCTTCCAGCAAGCCAGTATGTGCAAGCCTCTTATATTTTCCTCATCAATGTAATAGAGTTAACCTGGAGGTGCCATTTGTAGAGCACGTAGGAGTATAAGTTAGCTTAAAGCTATCTGACACCATCGCCAACAAAAGGGACTTTGGTCATGGTCGCCTCACTGCAACACTAAAAGTATTACAAGAGTTGGCCACCCTTAATAGTCTACAAGTGGATCTTATGAGCTAAAGGCGATCCTTATATTCCTTTTCATCAAGAACACAAATTATTCAACAATCAAAATGACTAGGTTTACTATTTTAACATGCAATACAGTTGAGGTGCAACTTCCAGACTAATGTCTGTTGAAGTACTTTTGTTCATACCAGATAATAACCGAGCACAGAACAGTTGCGTCACTTGAGAAGTTATTGTAGGAAAATTGTGAAAACGCATATAAGACTTCACATTTATCTTGCTTTGTGATAGAGACATTTGTAACGTATCTTTTTCCACTAATGAAATGATTCCTTATGTGCTCACACTTCAGGAAGATATGTACAAACCACATTCATCATTCCACGATATACTCTCGTTCATTATCAACAAGTTTGTTGAACCAGTTTTGTCACGTTGGCCTTGGAGAAAACTGAGGGAGAAAGCTCTGGCTACTGTCATGAGGCACATTCACTACGAAGATGAGTGCACTCGATACATCAACCTTGGTGCTGTACCCAAGGTAAACCAATGACTATGACTCTTTGTTACTTTTTTTTACATAATGGAATTACAGTCTTCTCGTTTTGAAATTTCATGATGCTTACATTAATGCACCAACATTTTTACGGACAAGCGAAGAAAAACTTTACATAATAAGTGGGATGTAACAATAAATTTATTTTACAAATAAGTCTATTTTTGTCCTTTAAGACCGGGTGCATCCCATCCCTCGTATGTTCATGCCGGTGCAAATCATTTCCCTATGGCACCATTTCATATATGGTTCTGTCTCATGTGCCATGTCATTGCATGGTCCCACACATCACTAGCCCTAACCCCTTTCCTACTTTCATCTCTTTTGCATCTCGTTTACCTATGTACCCAAATGCCACTGAATCTGCATTGCGCTGCACTGCAACTCTAGGCACCTCCTCAGCTAGCTTTCATTTGACCGACCAGACCTTGATGTTATGGAAGGGCAGCGTGCAAGTTGCTGATGGGGCGAATGAGCTGTGGACAAAAAGAATGTGATGTTCAATGGGTTCAAGATATGATGTAGGTGGGGGATGGGATTGCTGTGTAGTCGCAAGGATTATTGGGTGCTTGCTACTCACAATGGACTTTTTGGATTTCCCTGAAAAGGAAGGGTGATGTAGCACGGCAGCAGAAAATATTTTCCTCGGTTAAGAACCAAGGTTTGTCGAACCAGTAGGAGTCACCAGCTAACAATGGTGGTAGTACCTACACACAACCAAATAATTTGTTTGCACCCAACAAAGGCAAGGGGGTCATCAGTCCCCTTGTTCTTGCTAGCCACAAGATTAAAAGAAAATAGTGATAGGGTAAAGCGACAAAAAAGTAAAAGAAAGTTAAAAGAGAAATTGTTGTACGAGTTTTTCTATTGATGGAAAATAGACTTGTGGGCCATTGGTTCACTAGAGACATCTCTCTCTAAAGCATGTAGTGGAATGGTAGACAAATTACTGTTGTGCAATTGACAGAATGGCAGCAATTATAACTATCATTCATGGCATAATCTCACATAGGAATTACGTCTGTGATAAGTAGATTGTTATCCAACTTCATCTACTACTATTACTCCACCCCAAGACTGCCATCCAGCATGCATCTCAAAGTATTAAGTTCACAAGAAATAAAATAACTCAATAACCAAGATGACATAATGTAGACAGAAGAAAACCTACCAATACGATTAACCCCATCATTTTATCCTTAGTGACAACAATACAAATACGTGTGTGTTCCCTTTCTATCACTGGGATATATAGATCACCACCAAATTGAACCCACTACAAAGCACCTCACCCGCTGAAGATAAATCAATCAAACTTGGCCAAAGTAGACCGGTAGATCGGAAAGAAATACAAAGCTACAAAATTATGCTGCAAAGAAGCTTCAAAATATTCATCTAAATTCAATGAACAATCTAATCATAAATTCATAGTTCATCGGATCTCAACAAACACACCACAAGAATTACATCGGATGGATCTCTGAAGAGATCATTGTATTGACGATCAAATGTACGAGAGAGAGAGAGAGAGAGAGAGAGAGAGAGAGAGAGAGAGAGAGAGAGATCTAGCTACTACTATGGAATAGGGCTCCAGATGGAACTACTCACACATCATCATGGAGGCAGCAAGGTTGATGAAGATGGCCTCCCCAATGATTCCCCCCTCTGGTAGAGTGCGAGAACAGGACTTCAAATGGGATCACTTCAGAACAGAGGCTTGCGGCCATGATAAAAAAATTTAGGTCTCGCTCCAAGGGTTTTAGAATATATGGGAACTTATAGGGCAAGAATTAGGGCAAATGGAGCACCAGGGGGCCCACAAGCCACCTCGGCACGCCCTACCCCCTAGGGCGCGCCCTACTGGCTTGTGGGGCCCCTGTTGATCTTCTCGGCCTCCCTCAAATCTTTTAGGGTCTCTTATTTTCCATAAAAAATTGTCAAAAAGTTTCATCGTGTTTGGACTTCTGTTGGTATGAATTTTCTGTAAGACTAAAAATATGCAAAAAAAATGGCCAATAGGCACTAAATTAATTGGTTAGTCCATTAAAATAATATAAAATGACATAGAAAAAGTGATGATATAATAGCATCTAACAATAAAAAATTGTATACATGTTGGACATGTATCAGTGGTACATACATGGGGAGAGGTCAGCATTTGAGAAAGTGACTAATTAACAAAGAAGGATGAGTCAGCTCGTCAATAGTCAATGTCAAGTAGGATCCTTGACAGCATGCATGCCCATGTATACAAAACCTGTTTCATTTGGGTTAAGGGACGACATTTCTTGAATGGTTTTCATAGTTGTAGAACTAAAAATAACTTATACTAAAGACTAGAGACCGTTTCTGGCCCGTGGGAAAATGAGGGTCCAAAATACACTTTTCTTTATTTACCAATGAAACGCCATAAAGTTCATTGGCACATAACACATGTTTAGTGTTTCTTTGCATGGGTTTACACAATTGGTTCTGTAACTGGTGGTGCTCTGACTATAGTGGATTTCCGCAATAGCACGGTTGGTTTCAGGTGACCAACGGCAGCGGAAGTAGAATACTCACTTTTAGTCTAGTGACTATTTGATGGTAGCTGGGGAGGTAGGCATTTCAATTCACAAATCAGGCTTCCAATCCATATTTACACCACATGTATGCAGATATTGTTCTAGTGCAGAACATTACAACACAAGACTTCAGATAGTGAGGCATTATTTCTTTTTCTTTTGAGGTTGGGGTGTAGGGCACTCTATCTCCTGTATTTATAGTGTCTCAAGTCCAACCAGCAGTTTCAATGTAAATAAATATAAGTATTGCAGCTCAACACAAGCAATTACATGTCACCTTTTTGAATAAAATATACTTGGGTTATGATCTGATGCCTTAGGAATCATCTCATGACGCGAAAAATTTATATGGTTGAGCTCGGAGTCAACAAGTGAATTAAGGTTAGCAATGACATTACATGTTGAAATCAAACAGTGATATGGTAAAGCAGTGGGAAAACCTTGTAATATCTTCTTGTTACCTATTTCCACACATAATCAAAAACATAGTAACCCTATACCACCGTACCACGTGGTTATATGTGGCACTGCAAAATAAAATTATTAAGCATTTGAAGAGCTTTCATATTGCAAATCAAAAGGTGGTAGAAGAATTTTGTGATTGCTAGATAGGTTTAGTACGAACGATTGATAGTTTCTTTGATGGCTTGTGATAGGAATGCAAGTGAGTACTCAATGGATAGTTTGTGGATCACTGTTTAGTTCATTTTTCTCCATGAATAAATTTACTGTCTATTTGGGAAAGTTTTGAGTGGACCCAGTGACAAAAGAAATGAAACTTGTATCACGAGCTGTGTTTCCCATCTTAACCAATGTATCTGGGATAAGCATGTATCTAAAAATTTTACACAAGTTATTATCAACAATTATTATAATACAACTTAAAGGATTGTTTGTAAAGAATTTGCTTTACCTATGGATAAAGCCTATATAAATTCTTGGCACATGCTAGATTGTATGTACTCCATGGGGTGAAAAAATTCACATAGATCTGTAGTGTCATCTGGACAACTAAGTATACAATGGTTACTGCACGTGCAAATCAATCGTCAATTGCTCTTCTTGAGAGTGCATATACCACATTTCAATTTTTTAGATACTTCCAGCATTTTATTTTTCAGCTATCCAACTTGATGATCTATGGCACAGATTATATCCAACACTAGAGGTTTCTAGAACAATAATTCTATTACACCACCTTTGCTAAAAAGAACTACACCAAAAAGTGGGAGTAACTCATGTTTAAAGTAGCTGCAATTTTAATGTAAGCCTTGGTAGCATACTGAGCAATATGCATCTACCAGTTGCACAAAAAAGCATAAAGCTGACACGAGAATCTGGAAAACGGGCTTGTACTTTATCACCAAGATGAACAAACACACATGTATAGCATGCTACTTCAGCTCTCATTGTCTATTGACCCAAACGAGAGAATTATCAGGTGCTTTGTCCAACAAGGATTAAATGCAAGCACATGCAGTATGGTCCTAAAACTATCGGCCGTTATTGTCTAAAGTCCTATCTTATTAAAGGGCACACTCCCTCTGCACAAACTGTCCAAGATGACCCTGTTTTGTACATGGTACAGCTCCATAAAAATATGGCAGTGGTGCGGGATCACTCTCCTGTTATTCCTAACATCATTTACCCCAAAGATTACTTAAAGAAATGTCATGCCTAGTAACATACTCGTAGAATACATGGTTGTACAGTGTTAGTGGCGTTGGAGATGCCAAGAAGGCCATGGAAGTACTGATGTCGAGCAGTGAAGATATATATAGGCTTTAACACCAGATGCCACAGCTTGATTACCTTGAGGTTGTTTACTTCAAAGGACACTTCTGCAAATAGTATGAAATACGTTAATATAGTAAGACGCATCTGATAAAGTAGATACTTATTTATTGAAGCCATTGCTATGATATGATATCAAGCACCGACTGCCGTATGACCCAGGCCAATAAGCTGTTTGCGCTGCCTCGCGCAACGCGGCGCTTCTTCTCTCACGAACACACACCATGAAAAAGCTCAAAGAAAATACACACACGCACACGCACCAAGGAGAGAACCAGTTTCTTTGCATGAAACACTCCTTGGTGACCACCAAGACTACATTTTCTTCTGCGCACCTCTTTTCTATTTCTCAATACAAAGTATATATAAACATTTGCAAGCACTAAACTCACGGCACTACTTTGACCCACTAGCTAACTACCTAGCTAGCTAGCATGCACACACGCGACCACTTCTGCCATGCATGCACATACACCGGCCAGCCACACACATTGGGTTGGTCCGGTTATTACTCAACTGACTAACAACACACATTACGAAATAAACATGATGAACAATGATACGACAAGGTAGGGATGAAAATGGAGTGGAAAGTTTCCGCTTTTCCGGAGAGAAAATGGAAACGGAGAGGGAATATGAAAGCGGAAACGGCAATTTGCAAAACCGAAATGGAAATGGAATTTTTTATGCGGAAACGGAAACAAAAACGGAATGGTGTTTTCCGGTGGAACACACGTGGAAACGGAACTTTCCGTTTCCCTTAATATGGAATTTTCGTTTCTACTATAGGCTCATGGCTGCTTTGTAGCCCAACTACCAAACAATACACAATGACACAGTGAGTAAAATGAGCAAAATGTATTATTTGAGTACCAAGTTTTACTACCACACACATACTCAACTAGACCCTATACGGAATTGTCATGTACTACTAAATACTACCCTATTAGGCCAACACAACCATATTATTTTGTAGCCTCGTTAACAATTCCATCAATTTGTTTGTTTTTTGTCTGTATTCCTCTATTATTCAAGGGGGTTTTAAGTTCCGGTCAACAAACAGTTTTGTTTCCATGTCCGCATTGTATTCGCTCCGTGTTTGTTTCCGGTGGTATCTGTTTCCATATTCGTTTTTGGGGTTTCTGTATTCGTTTCCGCTTCTGAAAAAAATATGAAAACAAATATGGTAGCACCCAGTTCCGTCTGTTTCCCCGCCGTTAACTCTAACATAAGCCGTCAGCCCTTGGTCGCAGCCGAGACATTTTGCGGCTCCCCGGTCGCTTCCGCAGTCTCCTCATGTATTTTCTATCGACTACTAATACAAATCGACACCATTAACTATACTGCAGTCAGCTAAAGAGGATCTGTATGCTATAGCCTGACACCCTGTTGTAGTGACTCTTGATAGTTGTACTATTCAAAGTGGTTCTAGTTGTGTTATGCATGCTCCTGTCCACTTTAAGCTTTTGCTGGCTCAGTTTGAAATTAATTAAGTTGAATTCCACAACCAAGTTGAACTCTGGTCCACAGCACCATGTTGTCTTACTGAACCCTTGGTTTGCCTTTCTTGTGTAATTATTCCTTCTCCCTATTCTGTGGCATTAGGGCGAACGATGTGCATGTATATACTTTTGACTGAATCTTTTTGTACTTCATATATACTTAGTGAACTTCTATCAGAAATATATGCCTACTGCGTTTATTTTCAATCATCTAGTCACTATAGCTAAAAAGGAAAGTAATTAGATAAACTGTACACAGCCGTTAAATATGCTTGCTTGCTGGATTGAAGATCCAAACTTAGAGGCATTCAAATGCCATATTCCACGAGTATATGATTACATATGGATTGCTGAAGATGGCATGAAGATGCAGGTAACTATTGATTGCTCTTTTTTATTTAGTATTCATATTATTCTTATGACCCACTTCCTGCTATTTCATTCGCATTCCATTCATACAGCTACTCCATCAATAAGCTTATCAACATGTGCACTTTAATGGTGTTTGCTAACAGTTTTGGCATGCTAAATTAGGCCTTTTATCGAATCTGCCAGGTATTGAACATTGTTGGGATTGTTATACTTGTATCGCTGTAGTGTTGGGAAACGTAATAGTAAAAAAGTCGCACCTAAGCATGCCCAAGATCAATACGAAGGGGCATTTTTTTTTGCGGAAAAACTTCCAATCTATTCATCTTCAATCATGGCAGTACAACGAATACCAGAAATAAAAAATACATCAAGATTCGTAGACCACCTAGCGACGACTACAAGCACCGAAGCGAGCCGAAGGCGCGCCGCCGTCATCGCCCCTCCATCGCCGGAGCTGGGCACAATTTGTTGTAGTAGACAGTCGAAAAGTCGTCGTGCTAAGTCTCCATAGTACCAGCACCTCAGAACAGCAACCGCCGCCGATGAAAAATAAAGTAGATCGGAAGGATCCAAACCAAAGACACACCAACGTAGACGAACAACGACGAGATCCGAGAAAATCCACGAAAGATAGATCTGCTGGAGACACACCTCCACACTCCCACCAACGATGCTAGACGCACCGCCGGAACGGGAGCTAGGCGGGGAGACCTTTATTCCATCTTCAGGGAGCCGCCGCCGTCTCGCCTTCCTGAGTAGGACACAAACCCTAACAAGATTGAAAAAAACGACTAAATACGGAGCCCTCCCGCCGGCCCTTGCAAAGATCCACCGCGCCTCCATGACCCTAGGGCCACCGGAGACGGGACGGACATACGCCGGCGCCGGCGAGAGGCACGAACCCTAACTTTCTTTCTTGGAGGAGGAGGAGGAGGAGGAGGCGGAGCCCTGGATCTTGCATTACGGGTTGGAATCACAATCGATACCGTCACCGAGTTGCAGCGGAAGAAGAACGTGTCGGTCCATATCGTCCTTGGAGTCCCTCGAACCACCGATGAACTATCCCGGCGAACAACTCACAACAGTTCCTCGAACCGAATACCGAAGGCATGACCTCTCTACTTGGTTGCAAGCATGCAACCTTCACGATCCGGCAGCGCTTTGCCATCCAGAGCTAATCGTCGCTGAAGAATTAGAGGGAGGAGATTAGAACCATACTAGGCTTCTATTTATCAGGATTAGAGGATCTAGGTCTAGGTTAATTATATCAACTAGAACTAGAACAAGGGGAAACTAGAGGAGGCTAAAACACTGATATATCTCCATAGAGCAAAAAAACCTATAGGTTGGAGGGGAGGGAGGCAGCCACCAAGGAGGGTAAGTCCCTCCTTGGGCCACGAGCCTTGGGAGGAGGAGTTGGTCCTACTGGGCCAAGTTGGCCCAATGCTCCTTCCCCGGTTTGGCCTTTTAAGGCCCGTTGGTATTAAATTTAATATAAAAGCTTTTTAACAAATATTAGACCCTTTTATATATAATTTATGAGCACCGGAAACAATTTCCGCCTATATATTATTTATACCCGGTATTACCCGATACTCTGTGAAACCCTTTTGTGACCCCGAAACGCTTCTGGATCCTCTTGAAACTATTTCGAGTATTTATGAAACAATTCCACAAAAATATTCTCATCACTCCCGTCCTACTAACACTCAGCAGATCAAGATTGCCTTAAACTTGTGACCCCGTATGTTCTTTCAATGACCGATAGCGGAACCATGGACGTAAATATCGATCCTTATGAGCACACTAATAATATTCGAGTGAACCTTTGGCTATCATGTGATGTTCTCTTTGCTTCGCGATACTTCACAAAAGCCAGGATGCATCGGTATCCTTCGGAATCATCACATGCTCACTATATCGTTATCCTCGTTACCGGTTTTGTTCTTCTTTCTCGTTGTCATGTTCCGACTTCCTCGTGATGTAGTCACCTATGTCTGGCCAAATGATGATGGATGTCGTCACACCAAGAGGGCCCTGAGAATATCTCTCCATCGTTGGAGGGACAGATCCCACTCTCGAACTATCTAGTCCCATGTCAAACTTTCTGATGAGCCTGTAAATTATCGTTATGATCACCATGTTACAAGTGACATTGGAGGAACCCCAAAGTGCACCGTACGGTAAGAAGTGACTACGATATTCTCATGGTCTAAGGAGAAACATCACACGTTAACAATCCACGCTATTACAATTGATTACATACGATATAGACTCTTCATAACAGACAAGTTTGGGTCAATTCAATATGATCATTCTTCCAACGTCATTATCTCAGTGTTCTTTTAGAACTATCGTTTACACTTAGCGATATCCTAAGATTCGAAAAAGGTGATCACCAACAACACTTGATCTAGTCCTAGAGGCAAGACTAGGAACCTTTTATTTAATCTTTTATCAGTACAGGATCATAGCTATTATAGCATAGAATGTAAAATCTTTAATTATGAATACAAAAATATAATAATACTAATCCTAATAGGGCATGTTTCTAACACTCTCCCACTTGCACTATAGTCAATAATCTAGTTGCATGCTTTTCTAACACCCATGTCTATCTGGTGTTGCTCGTGCTTTGCTAGTGGTAGAGCCTTCGTCGCCAGATCTACTCTTCAAATCCTAATGTTATTTGTGTCGGTAATATCTGGTTTTTCTGTGTAATTCTTAGGTTGCATTAATGGTAACAATATACCTCTATATAGTCCATTTTATAGTAACATTATATCTCCATATAGTCTATTTACTATATCTTTATGTAGTCAAATTTCATTTGGAACAACACCATAGTCTATCAATAAACTTTTAATTATCCAGATTATATTCTATTGAAAACTTATCAAGCCTCAATCTATATCATTTATAAAATCCACAATTACATTTGTTTTCTGAAACTATTTTAAAAGTTGTAGCCCGATAGTTTATTTATATCAGTCATGAAGTTGTCTTGTGTAACCTATGCAACAAAAAAATTGTGTAACTATTTACAACAATATCTTCATCTCCTATCTGGACAAGAAGAAAAACCTTTGTCTAACTGAGGTACTTAATCTTGAAGCAATTACCCCAGTGAACCTCTCTAGGATCACTATGGTACTTACTACCAACATTTAGTTTATACATATGTAAGATCAGAAATTGCATTGAGCTCCCACTAAACTTCTTGTATCTACAAGCTTCTTGATAAAGTTAAATTTCTCCAATTACTTCATCAAATTCCAGCCAATTGATAATTTATTTCAAATCATACACATGGCTTGAAATATATATATATATCACTCTGGTATTCCTAACAAAACCTTTTGGTTGTATCTTCTACACATCCTGTTTGAAATATTTTTCAATATAGTTTTGTTACTTATCGTTTATATATCAATAATATACAACACTCACCATTGTAATCCATTTTTACTTTTAGTATTGCTGCTAAAAAGAAGATTTGACAAGATCAACTGTCCATTCCTACAAAACTCTTTTGTAAAACTTTTCTTTCAGGATCATTATCCATGAATATTCGAAGATCCGTTTACATTTTTGTGCCTAACACACCTTTTGAAGGTTTCACTAGGTTCAAAACTTGTTCCTGGTATATGGACTTCACTTTCGATTTCAATTTTCTAAGCCATACCCCTCTAGCTGGGCGCCATCACTACTTCCTCGTAGTGTGCAGGTTTATCTTCTTCTTAGACGAAGTATTCAGTAGATTCGATAATCTTTTTTGACATTCATCTTTTGTTACAGTCTTAACCGAAGCTCCTACATATAATGTAGTAGTTTCTTTGCTCAGTTTTATGGACAAAAATACTCCAGAACATTTCTGGTTTAGTCTTGTTTTAACTTAAGTTGGAGATTCAATAATCTTCATAAGTTCTTACTCCTTTAAGGACTAAACCTTTTACGAAAAAATATTCATTCTCTGACAAACATTTTGTCCTCGAATTTTGTGTGTGGAAAGAACACAAAAACCTACAATCAAGCATTGGTCTAAAATATTCTATAACTCTTTATAGTTTTCATCAGAACTTTAGAAGGTGCATCTGTTTAGTGAATATTTTGCTGATTAATTTATAAATCCCTAAAAATTTAATAAGAGAAGATCAATGATTGTAATAATTTCACAATTATTCAATTGCTTTCTAAAAATATGACTTAGATATATTTCTTCATGAAAAAAGAATCATGTTTATATTTTGTCATAATGATATTATATCTTCATCCAGAATTTGTTTGAACTATTTCAAATATTTCAGTCCTTATGTTTTATCAAGTAAATCATATTTACTCGTAACATTTGAAGAAGTATAAATATTTACGGGGCCCTGTCATATCCATCAGACTTCATACATCACAAGGTATTTAGTCAATTCAAATAAAAGACTTTTATACTTCATCTCTATGAAGATTAATTATCCGATACAACCAAGCATAACCAAGCAGTGCCACACACAAGTTGTTTTATCAGTCTTCTCAAGATGTTTAGATTCAATGTTATAGATCACAAAATTCAAGATTCGTCATTAATAAATCATCAAAAAATAGAGGTTTAATCAAAAACCATATTCTCGTAATAATTTGAACAACTATTTTTTAAAACTTATGAGAATATCCATCGCATAACCCATAGGATAATGCATTACATAATTCAAGAAAAATAACTATTATTTCAGTTCTAAGATAAATCTTGAAGATAAACTAAAGACACTACTTCGACGGTCTCGGACCAGCGATCCCTTCACTATTCCCGACTTGTATGATGGCTTCATTTCTTCTATCCTTGTGAGCTCTCTATAGTCCTTATATCGGTTTGCAAAATGAGAGCAATCGATCAGTATCAAATACTCATGACATACAGAAATTTATATGTAGAATAACGATTATACCTTTATTGGAAGAACCGTTCTTCTTATCCGCCAAATACTTCTTACAGTTATGCTTCCAATGTCC